AAACATCTGTACAATTAACTATTAAAGTCTAGTGGACATCCCAAAGTTTCTAAAGGTAACATATATATGGTTGTGTGTTCGAAGGCAACTGTGCATAAAATCGTGCACAAGACTTCTACAATTTTTCCATTTAAAAGTTTGGGTTCTCTCAGTGTCAACGATTATATAGCATTAATAAAGATTTGAAACAAGCTGATACATATTATTATAATGTGTATTTATGATACCAACAGACAGTGTGGGATTAGATCATTTTAACAACCTTAAAGCTGCTTAAAGAGAAACAAAATGGGAAAACAGGATTTTGAATGTATTGTAAGTACCATCCCTAACACACTAATAATTTATGTGTATGTACACATACATGTAACACAAATTCCCACAAACATATATGAACACACTTACTCAGACACTCATCCAATTTACACAAACATCTGTTATACGCACACAGAGAGACATAAAGGAATTGAAATGATGGCATACAAGCATGCACGCACACGTACACCTCTGCAAAACATACAGATTCATACCCTTCAGATCCCTCTGTACTGCTAGTGCTGTATGCTCAGGTGACGACACTCATTTCACACACACACACACACACACACACACACACACACACACACACACACACACACACACACACTGAAGTAGGAACAGTGATTCTTGGAGGTGTTGACACATGCAGCCATTTCAGATGACGGTCGGTGGTGAGTTGAGTGTTCTCTCTGTTGTTACAGGCCCCTGCAGTCTCTCTCTCTCTCTCTCTCTCTCTCTCTCTCTCTCTCTCTCTCTCTCTTTTCCTGACGATGACATCTAGCTTAGTCACTCAAGTGCTCCTGCTTTGTAATGCATGTTCTCTTGTAGCTGCAGCACTCTCCAAACAAAACTGGAAGCTTTTCTTGGAGGAGCGGGAGACTGTTTTACAACTTTATCTCACAAATACGGGAGGATGGAGATAAATCCTTCTGTGTATTATGTTTTTGCATATGTGCCACTTGCTTTTAATCTGGTGGATAACATGTTCATTCTGGTACACCCTGTGTTTTGTGCACTGGTGCCTGTAACAAAAACATTTAAGGTTCACATTGCAAATGTTGCAAATGTTATGATCCTCATCTTTTTTTATGTATTATATATTCTTATAATTTATTTTATTATTACTGGCTGCTATTATTAGCTATCGCTGTTCTGAAGCACATTTCTATTAGACAGATTAACAACAGGTTTGGGTTTTGCAGCTTGATCACAGGAAAGCATATGCTCCACTGGCTTTTATGTCATGAAAAGTATTCAGGTATGTTCTTACTGCAATAAGAGTAAATATATAGTTGCGTGGCAACGTTACCATTCAGGGTGACATAAGCAAGAAACACAAGCTGAGCTAAAAGAAAACCAGAGAGCACTGTTTGGGTCATTGAATACCTCTGTGTTTACCCTTAGCCTAGTGTGGGATTGACGCTTCGATCCCCACCTCCTCCTGGGAGTTTTTCCACTGTGACATGTGTGATGGGGAAACTTAAGCCTCAGCAGATCTCCCAAACAGGAATTTTCACTTCTCCTCTTTATAATCCTATAACCCTCACTGCCTTAAAACCGCTGTGTGCGTGTGTGAGTGTGCATGTGTGTGACAGGTCTAAATCTTCTCCAAACAGCAAATCAGTACAGCCTACTGCTCAGTATAAGCACTCAACAATGAAGAGCAGGCAGCCAGCCAATCAGCATAGGGCTGAGCAATGACTGGACATGCTGCTTTATGACCTTTCAGGTGAATCACACAAAGGCTGCTGAATATTTACTGAACAGCGATGGAAAGCACCCCCATTGCTGCTCTTGGCTGGCACGTATGAAATGCTAGCGCAGAATAAACACGTCACCGATGCCACGTTTTAATGTGAGAACTTTATCATCGTCTTCCTGTGAAGAGCCAGCACACAGGGGTTATTCATTTGGGATCATTTGAGTAAGACTATACTAACAGAGTGGGCATACTAAAATAACACACTGCCAAAAAATGTCCCTTTTCACAAGTAAGTTTGGTGCAAAAAGTTATCATTAGATAAGGGGGTTTCTGCGGAAATAAAAAAAAAACACCTTAAATCGAGTTGCATTTTAACTGGAAACATATAAAATTGTGTCTTTTACTTATTTATCTACCTAAACAAACATGATCTTCCAAAAACCTTTTTTAAACATCCAGTGATTGTACATATTTTTTGTAGTGTACAGGTTGGTATGTCCTCCATCTCAGCCATACAGGTTTATTTGCAGAGTGCAACCAGTTGCACTGTAATCGGATTGAAAGGGGCTATATTTGCTGCGGATAACCATATATCTCGGTGTCAGGGGCCTTGAAAAGACAACTGTGATTTGGCAGCGGCGTGAGCAAATCCATCCCTTACATCTGCCTGGCATGAGCTCGCAGAGCACACAACACAAACACTCACTAAGACCACAGAGGACGCCAAAGAAAAGCTCAGCTTTCCCTCCAGAACAACATAATTGAGCATGGAAGAGAGCAGATCAATAATGGTTCTTAGAGGGTGCCGCAAGTTCAATCTGTGACTGTTGTTGTATCTATTTCCTTTAATGTCGCCACTGAAGGCACACTAGGCTTTACAGTGAACGATAGCAGATCACGCTTTGGGAGGCAGAGAGAAAATTAGGAGGAAAACAGGCTGCTTACTTTACACACACACACACACACACACACACACACACACACACACACACACACACACAAAACACACACACACATTTTTACTGGCAAGCTACCACTCCCTTCCCCCATCATCATTATACTTCTGAATTACCAAAACAGGGAAGAGGGGTTATTATTACAGTCTTTCTAGCAATACGCCATTTAAATCAAATCACTACATTGGACTTTAAAAACATCTCACCCACCTGTTGCAGGAAGTGGAACTTACACAGCTGAGTGAGAAAACGAAATTGGTTGTTTTGTTTCATCAGAATGGCTGCCGACAGGAGACCCCCACTGCCATGCCTTGTCATCTTATAAGTGCAACATGTGTTCTTTCTTACATTATCAAAGTGAACTCTAATAAACTGGTATAAAACTCATAAACTAAACTATACTCCACTATACATTTTTAAGTTTACTTGTAATGACGGGCCTGATGCAAAAACCACTCATACAAACAGAATTTTTCTTAAACTATTCTTACCTTTCTTGGGGGGTACTACTGCATAAGTGAAAAAACCTTTTATAAAATATTTTGTGGCTCCGGAGACAGCTGCACAAAGTCTGATAAATTGCCTCAAGTAATGTCACTCGAGTAGTTTTTTTTTTTAGAATTCACTCTTGTGAGTATTTTGGCAAATTCATATCAAACCGTTCCTTTGTTACTTCTGTCGGGGTACGTTTTTTCAGGATCCCCAATACATCTGCTGACACTGCTAAAATTTGAATAAAAATAAAAAGTAACATGTGGCATTACAAGGGTTTGCTATACCCAACTAAACACACGTGCCTCATGGAAAAAAGTAACAGGATCCTCAACACAGAAGCACAGCCGTCTCCTGGATAACTTAAAGATACAATCTTCTTTAGTTTGGTATGTCAATTTACCACTAAAACTACAGTACCCATGAGCCTCAGTGGCTGCAGATGCATGTACCGGTACATACTGTATGTATGTGCTTGCAAGTAGACACACATCAGTGCCAATATATGCACAAACAGAACAATACACCACCAGAACTGGTTGAGTTAGTCAAGGTCCTTTCTGCTCTGATCAATGAACCAATTAAAATGTTGAGAAAGGATTAAGAGGCTTTTAGGTCAAAAACAACATCTCCCACAGTGCCTCAGAAGTGCCTGTTGTAGTGAAATGCCAACCTGCCATTACAAGGAGATTACCTGTAATCTCTCATTACTTAAAACAGGGTGGAGAGGCTTTCATGCCAGGCATCGTCAAAAATCATACTGCGCTGTCAGCCAGGCTTAAGACTGAATTTATACACAGACTTATTTGTAGAGAAACATGCCTGCATTTGTACAGCAACAGAGCCTGAAACAACCGCACAGACATGGTTTTCAGCTCAGACTTTAGTGTCAACAGAACTCAAAATGAACTCCTGTTGTCTTTTGGGATAATAGCAGTCTCTCGCTGAGGGATCAGTTCATAAAGACCCTATGATCATCAAAGTGTTAAACAGTATTTATGCAAACACGGCAAACTGCATGGAGAAGTTTACGGCGCAAATCCATGCACATTTATCAGTGGGAGCAAACTGCCAACTGTGCCACAAAAACAGATGCAGGGAACATGTAAAGACAGAACAGTGGAGAACATGAAAATATTGGTTTGTGAAGCCTGCTCTCTTCTTCTCCCTCGCTCTCTCTCCTAGATAATTGCTGTTTTGTCTTGACTGAATGTGCTGTTATTTATTTGCACAGGAACTGAGACAGATTCCCCCGGGGCTAGAGATGTTTTTCGGCTGGGAGTCTTCCTGGTGTTGTACAAAAAACACGAGAGAAACATTGGTATTATTTCCAGCCCACCAAAAAAAATCTAAATTTCACCAACATATTAAAAGCTAAACCATCAGATTATCTCTGTCTACCACATAAAATCATTCCACTTGTAGCTGCAGGGGGAGGACAGGTAGTTCCGTGCAGACTGCCCAGCAAAGTTGATGGCTACTTCTCAACTTGAAGCCTGGTATTTTGAATGCAAACACAAAGCGGCGCCTGCGGACATCAACCACAGCAGTAGCATGAGCTTGAAGAGCTTCATGTGGTTGGAGAGAGGTCACATCTAACTTTCACTCCACTCGATCCCCATTAAATGAGGGGACTGGAAAGGGGAAAGGAGAGGGGGACATGAGGAGGTGCAGAAAGCAGAGGAGGAAAAAGGACGAGGGGGAGTTGTTGGAAACAGGTCTGTCATAAATTAGAGTGACCCAACAAGCATTTAGAATAGATGTTGATATGACAGCCTAAAACAATAATGAAAACCTGTGTAGCAAGAAAAAGGAAAGATGAGATTATGTCTGCAGCCTTTTATATCTGCCATCTTGATTGTTGTGTAATCTGATATCTTTTCTTACAGCAAAAAAAGACCAAACCTGTTTCAAGACCTACACTCACCACCTTACAGTATGTGCTTTCTGAGAAATGAGCCACATTACCCAGCATGTATCAGTGCGCTCCCATGTTTCACCTTTGTCTCTGCGTTCCAGATGTCAGCTTCAGCTCCTACAGAGTGAGTGTACCATTGGGTCGTGTCTATAAGGCAACGGGTGTCTCTGACATGCAGGGAAGGGATTTGTGACAGGCATCTCCCCAGACGAAGGGCAGGGGGAGTGAGGATGAACAGGACCGCAGATGAAAGGGTCGGTGCGGCTCCACCCACATATCCATGTCCTCCCATCAGTCCCCCCTATATTTCAGCTCCTCACAGGCCCTGTGAATGAAACATACCACTGTGACACAACGTGTGAGTGTGTTTGTAGGAGTATGTATACAACAGCAGTGTATTTCTATAAGAAGCATCTGTATTATATTTACCATGTGCCTGTACATGCATGTGAGCACATGGGACTACTTTTCGTAGACTCATGACTATGTGTATATGTCTGTGTGGGTGTAGGTATGTGTGGCACTTGGATGGATTGATGGGTAATACATGGCTAATGATACATGGCTGAACTGTATTATCGTTCAATAGCATTCATATTATAACTATCAAGCTTTTTTATATGACTTTATGTCTCAAGACTTCCTGCTTAAATGAAAAAAAATCTTATTATTGGCTTATGAGTGATCTATAAAGTGTTATTTGTAAATGATAAACTCTGAATAAAGGATATTTTATATGGTAGTGGCACCATCACATGTCATGCATTTAAACTCACATGTGCCTTGATGTAGTTACTGTAAACATAGGAGATGACATAGACTATATATTTTACATCAGTGCTAAAGTTAGCAGTTTTTCTTCAACACTGTCACAGTGTTTTAAGTATGCTGGATGGAAAAGAATTCCACCAACTATAGTCATGTGGCCATTTATGGAAGTCATTTAGTGAAGTAAAGTAATCTTATTTTTATGTACAGGCACTACTTTAGTCAAAACGTGAAAAAGTGAATTTCTGACTGCACCAGAAATACAGCACCATGTTCCGTCCATTAAAGTGAAACAATAATTTCCAAATGTCTTAATAATGCCTTATTTTTAGTGACGAGTGGTGTAAGGCATTAAAGTGCAAAGTTCTATTATTTTCAGTTTTTCACACTGGTTTAACTTTGTTAGGTTTAAGAAAAGATCGTGCTTTGGATTAAAATAATAAGTCGATGTTGACTTTTGGTTTCATACGGGACACAGACAGCGGCCGCCTGGGTGAAAGTCGTGTTTATTTGTGGGATGTATGGAGCCCTTTATGCAAGCTAACGTTGTTGTGGATGTCTTGTTTTCTTTATCTTTTTTTAAAATACAAAATGTGTGTGTGAAGGATTTGTAGTTGTTTAAAGGCATCTTTGACTGAGTTATGCTAGGTTACAAAAGTAATGTAGCCAATGAGTCACATTTTCAAGTAATTTGCCCAACACTTGAGGTGACTGGTAAAATGAAGTGCAGCTCATTTAAGCCTGCCAATTTTCCTAACAGTGACCTAGATTTCTTGCAGTACTTGGGTCTCTGATTGATGTGTAAAAGACTTATTGATGTTAAAATGCTACATATAGCACTGAGCCTGAGGTACTGTACAGTATAGAGAATGCACTGAGCAATACACTGAGAAACCTGATCCATGTTTAAATATCTATTTAACATTTCAGAGGTTGCACCTCTTATGATTACCAAACAATACATAAATCACACAAGGTTAAAATTGGGTAATATTCATTAATAGCGAACCACTGAGCTGGACTTGTTTAGGTTTCCTGCATGATTTATCATAATAAGAGCTGCTTCGGTTAATGGTTTCAATTGAATAATCAGTTATATCGTTTTGCCACGCCTCTGTTGACACTTAAGTCTCAGTGGAACCATTTTTCAATTAGGTGATTAATATCATTGAACAGACAAATTAGTACCTCCTGTGAAGCGCTTCCCTGAACTTGTAAAGCTTATTTAAAAAGACTCTGCATTATTTCGCAATGAATCTGATCTTGATGAATGTATCACTCTAACCATTTGTCATCCAGTGAGAGAGAGAGTGAGAGAATGGGAGAGGTTCCACTATAAATATGGATCGTGGGTCTTATTTTTCACAATGGTAGTTAAGTTAGTGTCTGGAGTTTGAGAGAGACCACCTGGGCCAGAGGTTTGTAATCAGAGAATAGGTTTTCAACTCTGCACACAACTAGCGTTTCAAATCTCATAACTTTCACAAGCACTGCGCCAAGGTATCAAAGAGGTAATAACTCACATATAAAAAGTGAGGTGAGAACTTCCACATGGCCTCAGGGCTCCAAGTAGAGCCTTTTCCTGACTGTCAACTGACTGTGTATGTGTGTGTGAAAGAAAGATGCAGAGAGAGATGTGTGTAGGGTCCAAATATCATCACAAGAAAGTCAAAAGTGAGGAAAGTCTCATTTTTACCCAGATTCACTTCTTTTGGGAGCTGGATTGGACTGTAGACCATATAATTACGGACCTTTTTTATTAGGAAAAACATTTAAGATGATGATAGGCATGAAATGCCTGGAACCTAGAATTATTATCAGAACATGTAGGAATATTTAATATATTAGCAAATAGGGGTTACAATATTGCTACTGGCAATCAAAAGAGTGTACAATGCATTCTAGTTGCAGTTTTTGGCAGTATCGGTGTGTTAAAATCACATTAAAGGAACATTATGTAACTTTTCTACCTTGAAATCTTCCAAATCATAGGTTGAATTGTGCCTCTGTTATTCCCGCTCTGTGCCCAGCACACCTGTGTAACTTTTAGTGATTTTAGTGACACTGTATGATATTCTATGGAGAAAATGTTTTCTGGTTTTCCCTCTGATGTCCTCTGGCTGCTGCGGATTGTACCTGCTGTTAGCTAGTTAGGTTAGCGGTAGCTTTGGACCAAATGCACATGTACAGGTGTGTTGTATTGCAACTGGGGGCAATAAAATGCATTAAATACCAAATTTTCCATAATCTCCTACATATTTTTTCCTATTTATTCAGTTATTGTAGTAACATCAACCCTGAAGTGTTGTTAACATTCACATGAAGGGTATTAATAATTCCAGTCATGAATACTCTATCCAGCTGGGCTAAAATGTAAGATCTCAAATAAACAGTGGTAATGCCCTCAAGTCAACCCAGACTCAGCTGTTAAAAGAAGTCAGGAGAACCATATTTGAGGGTGTTTTATGACTGCAATTTATTCCCATCACACCAAGTGTAAAAAACCATGTGTCCTTTCTTTCCTCAGCCATGTAGTGGGAATGATAGTTCATCAAGCAGACAAGTGAAAACACAGAGAAGTGTGTGTTTCTTCACAATGCCTGAAGCTTTTAGTTTGACCCTTTCCCCTCTCCATCTCCTTCTCACCTTCTCCCTCTCTCTCCTCTGCCCTGGGGCACCAATGGGTGGGCCTTTAGGAGAAGCAAGCGAGGGGGCCCCTGGCATCACCCATACCTATAGGCTTGAAAAAAGAAACAAAAAACTCAAAGGATGATGGCTAGCCTTGACGTCGTTGAGACAGTGTTCGGGTGAGGAGAAATGAGGTAAATATCAATGGCGGTGGTCTCACATAGCCCATTAGTCAATGTCTACAAGCCCGCTGTCTGAGCATCAGCACAGAGCAGCCCCGGGGGTTAGCACCACCACCACTGTCCTCCTGGAGAATTGTACCCAGGCAAAAATAAAGCAACCCGAGCCGGGCATAAATCATTAGGAACATTTGTTACCTCAGGTAATTGTGCTTCATTCATCTTCAGGCCTTTTTCCATTTGTCAACTCCCAGAGGCTGCTGGGTGTCAGCTGCACAGGTCTATGCTGTAGGTTAGCCTGGCTGTGCCTAACCAGAACTACAGGAGAGGAGGCCTGCAGGAAGCGGTGATACACAATACAGTAGAGCGAGACTACACTAGGCCATTATTCAGAAGTTTTTTTAAAATCTGTGCTGCAATTTATGGTCTATTGTTGTGTCTGTGACAATGTACACATAGGATTAGCCCAGGGAACTTTTTTTTCTTTCAAAATTACTAAACACACTGTATAGTAGGCTATATAAAATATTATTAATGCAAAACGTGTATCTTTCAAACCCTGATAGAGATTTAATGTAGCAAGCAAAAGGAGAAATAGAATTAGGAAAGACAAAAATATGAACATAACACTTACTGTATGTCTGTACACTTGTCTGTGGTATACTGGGTATAGCTTTCTATGTTTGATTTATAGCATTTTTTGATTTTTTTTCTTGTACTCACCTTTACTTAGTTGTATCGTTTGTCTTGTATATTTCTTGTGCTGGTGTAACACAAATCCTTCATACAAATCAAGTTTAATCTCATCTCATTTTATTTGATGTAAACAAATAGGAAATTAAAACATAGTTACTGTTTTGTTTCCATGCAACCGTGTAAAAAACCAGATTTTTCCAAACATGCTGCCAACTCTGTGGCTTAATGCTAACTACAAATCCTACAAATGTAACTGAAGCAGAAGAACAAAATGAAAATCAGAGATAATCTTGACCCTTGCCGTGTTTTCCTTCCTTTTTCTCCCTCAAAGATCCAAGCATCATATTAGTTTTTCCTCCTAAATTTCAGAACATACTGCAATTGCCTGCTGCTCTGAGACCTTGTCTCACACTGCGTAGAAAATAAATCAATCAATTTGTGGTTAACACATAAACACACCCTAAAACACAGCTTGAGAAAGGGAGTGAGCACAGGCTGTTTTAATGTGTATTGTGATCTGCTCCTTAGGAAGGCATCTATTAACACCAATTGTAACCTCACTGCCTTGAAACCTGTCTTCAGCTGTTAGCACCCTGCCACCTCCATTCACCTTAGTGACACACACATCTAGCACACGTTCATCTGGAACGTACACACACGTATGCACGTACAGCACAAACAGCACTTTACTTAACTAAAGGCAATCTTAGATGATGATATTTCTCAGGTCTTTTTTTCTTCTTAGTACTGTTTTTAAAAAGCAGGTAGGACAGCAGGAGAATGAAATATAAAAAAAAAGGAATGACAGGGTAGAGAGAAACAGAGAGGGAGGGAAGTAGTGGCCTTTAACGTAAATATTCTTTATTTAAGTTATTTGTTTAAAAAAGCAGCCTTCTGAGTAACTTTGTTTTGTCATATCAGTGCAACATTTCAAAATATTTGCCACCATATAAATAATCAGTCAATTTTTTCTTTTCTAAAATCTGCACCAGTATCAGTCTCAAACATCGTCGGTCAACATGTCGGTCGCTCTCCTATCTTCTGACCTTGAAACAACACCCGAGCACATTAAAATGCACCATACAGGGAGGTAGTGAAGGTTCAGTAGCCAGGATGATCTGCAGGGGTGGATGTGATAAAACCGTTGCTTTTCTGGAGAGATAACATTTGTCAAGGCGCTGCTAGCATGTGGAAATTTACAAAGAAACAGATGCAGGTTTGTTAACGCGCATCATACGCTGCATGACTGTCAGAGCCTTGAGAACCATATCACTTACACTCCAATAAAAATGCTGTTTTGCCACACACAGCTGTCAGTGGGTCATCGCTGTCGCTAGTCCAAACAACACTAAAGTTAGCTCACTTTCAAAAGGTACAATCTGTAACTCAACTAAACAGCAGCATTTCAAGTTATACCAATGGAAAACAAAAATATGTATTTCAGTTTGCCTAATAAACGTGGTCCAGCAGG